TGTTAGCATGGGAGGGGGCCCTGGCCTGTCTGGTGGGTCTGAGGAGCTTATTCACACAGGGATAACAGTGTAATGATGATCTTAAACTTACCTTAGTAGAGACTCAGTGTGGTACTGTGGTTCAAAGTGCTCTAGCACTGCATTTTGAACCTTGAGCAAAAAGACTCAGGTCCTGAATTCAAGCCCCACATCTGACAACAAATATATAAACAAATACATAAGTAAGCACATAAATAAAATAAACTTTCTGGTCTATAATCTCTTTCATTGAAGAAAGCCTTTTATAGCTAGGTGCATAGCAACTCAAGAAGGTGATTCAAGCTGCATCATAGTCATAAATTGACACGTTGAATTGAAACACTTTTGTACAACTACTTAATAAATTTTTAAAAAGGAACAGGCTGAGATTGAAAATCACAGTTTGAAGCTAGCCTGGACAAACAAACTTTAGAGACTCTTACTTCTATCCAGCAAAAACAACTAGAAATAGAAGTGTGGCTCAAGTGGTAGAACTACAGCAGTGAGCAAAAAAGCCAGGTAAGAGTATGAGATCATGAGTTCAAGCTCCAGTACCAGCACATACACCCCTCCCCCCCAAAAAAAGACATTTTGGGGTTGGTTTTTCATCACTGTGACAAATACCTGAGAGAAACAATTTAAAGGAGGAAGGATTTATTTTACTCCATTTCAGAGGTTTCAGTCCATGGTCAGGTGGCTCCACTGTTTCTGGAACAGGAAGCAGAACATTGTGGAGCAGAACAAGTTTGTGGCACAGAGCTACTTACCTCAGGACAGATAATAAGCATGAGATGGGGAGGGGCCATGGTAAGAAACAGCTCTCTAAGGAAACACCTTCAATGACCTACTTCCTTCAGCAACTTCCAAAATAGTGCCACCAGCTGGAGAACAACCCTTCAACACAATGAGCTATAACATTCTAACTTAGATCATTAAAATGTCCATGTCCAAGAATCCCCAAAGTTGTAATGTTCTAGCATTGCTCAAAAGTTTAAGTCCAAAGTCTCCTCTAAGACTCAGGACAGATTCTTAGCTGTAAGTTCCCACAAAATAAAAAAGCAAGTTATGGTTTTTTGTTTTTTGTTTTTTGTTTTTTGTTTTTGTCGGTCGTGGGGCTTGAACTCTGGCCCTGAGGGCTGTCTCTGCACTCTTCAGATAAAGGCTAGCGCTCTACCACTTGAGCTACAGCGCCACTTCCGGTTTTCTAGTGGTTTATTAGAGATAAGAGTTTCAGGGAGTTTCCTGCCTGGGCTGGCTTTGAACCACGATCCTCAGATCTCAGCCTCCTGTGTAGCTAGGATTACAGGCATGAGCCACCGGTGCCCAGTGCAAGTTATGTATTCTAAGATATAGTATCACAGAGTATTTCCATTCCAAAAAGGAGGAATGGGCTATAGAAAGGGAGGAATAGGGTATAGAAAGGAAGACTTCCACTGATACATAGGATATCAAGCTCCAAAGAGCTTGGCAACCTCACCCTATGGCCTTGCTGACCACAGGCCCACATGCCTCTTTCTTGGGCTGGCTCTGCTTGCTATCTATGGTCTTTTTGGGGTCCCTATTGCATCTTCAGCTTCACTCCCAATTTCACATATTACCCTCTCAAGACTGCATTCAAGGACTCCAACTCAACTTTGTCATAGATTGCCTGACTTCCCAAGCCTTCCTTTGAAATCTGAGTGGAAGTCTCTATTTGCACTTTTGCAAAACCAGTACTATGTGGATAACAGCCTGCGATAGCTGGGCTCCTAAGGACCACAGCTGTACTGGCCTTTGAGTGATGGGTGGCTGAAGATTCATTGTGAAATGAATTTTGGAGAAACAACTTTCTAGATAGCCCTCTATGGAATTAACTGACCTCCACATTCCGTTCTTAAATTGATACTTTTATACCCTGTAACCTGAGATGAGTGGAATCCAACCAATTCTTGAGATACTTTGAAGGCTTCTTTCCTATTAACACAGTGGAAAATAGTAGCATCTTAATGGCACTAATTATTCAGAAACCATGCCTTCCAGCTGGGCGTAGTAGCACACATCTCTAATCCTAACATTCCACAGGAAGAAGGATCAAACGTTTGAGGCCCCCTTGTGCTACTTACTGAAATTCTGTCTCAAGCAAGTAAACAGTACCAAAAGAGCTGGGCATGATAGCTCATGCCTGTAATCCTAGCTACTCAGGAGACTAAAATGTCAGGATTGTGGTTTGAGGCCAGCCTGAGGAAAATGTTTATGAGATCCTGTGTCCAATAGGAAAGGCTGGATGAGGTAAAATATGAAGCTATAATATGAAGTATAAACAAGAGGATCATTGTCCCGGCTGACCCAGGCAACAGCAAGACCATAAAACAAAAACAACGAGCAAAAAATGACTAGAGGCATGTCTCAAGTGGTAGAGTACCTACCCTGAGTTCAATCCTAAGTACAGCCAAAACATCCAAATATGCTCTTGTAGCCTCAATTTTAAGTGTTTTTGTTATGATAGTATTGCGGTAATATCTTGGTATATCTCCAGCGCTTTTAGAATACATCCCTTGAAGTACATTGCAGGCTAAAGAGCACTTAAAATTTTGATAGACCTTACCAGATTGATCTTCGAATAGCTGTACTAGTTTACTCTTCTGGAATATGTTTTCTCTGTAACTTTTTATTTGAAAAATGTTAAACCTATTGGAAGTCTTACGTAATGGTTATAATGAATCCCTAATATCCTTCACTTAGTCTGTCGGTTATTATGTTTCCATATGAATTCGTTTGCTTGGGCTGCCACAACAGAATATCAGACTGGGTGTCCATTTTCTCTGTAGGCTGGAAGTCCTAGATGAGGTATTAGTTGGCAGGTTTAATTTCTTCTGAGGCCTTTCCTTGTAATCCTTGTGTGGTCTTTTCTTTATATACTCATATGTTTGTATCCTAATCATTTCTTAAAAGCATACCAATCATATTGGGTGAGTGTCTCATTTAACCTTGATTGCCTCATATATAAATAGTCACACTTTGGGGCAGCAGCAGTTAGGGTGTTAGTATATGAATAGAGGATGAAGCCAGTAGTGTAGTCGTAGTAGTATAGTATAATTGTAAATGTGGATTTATTGTTACTTCCATTTATTTGTAGTTATAATTTTATCATTTGTGATGTATATTTAAAACATAATTATATATAATGTGTCATTTCTCTTTTAAACTATTTGATAGGAAATTGCTGCCACTCATACTTCAGGTATATCTTTTAGGAAAGAGAATATCCTCTTTTGGTTGATGTTTCGCAGTCTCCTTGAGGCCAAAGAGCTAAATGAGCATGATGTAGCTCTGATTCTGGCTGGAGGGACCATTTTGTCTCAAGCCCCCAGTCCCTCATTTAAAAGTTAGTATACTTGTGGGAAGGAGCCTCCTGCTTTTGAGTGCCATTCTGGCCAACAGAACCTCAGGGCCTCACTTCCGATTCTTGGGCATTGTTGAGGTTTTGGATCTGTGATGTGTCAAGAAAAGACAGACCTCCTTGAAATTCCATCAGCTTTCTGGTCTGTATATCATCATGTCTCTCCAAACATCAGACTTGTTTTTTCAATTCCTTGTATAGACAGACCTTTCTCTGCCAGATGTGGACTGCCTATATGTATTGAGAGTTGAGTTTATTTAGGCACCATTTTCTCCTTCCCTGTCACCTTGCTCCTCTTGAAACCTCATTGGCAGCTTGGGACTCCACCAGAAGTTGCTTCTGACCTGCTACCAGTTGTTAAGAAGCATACTTCAACCCTTGCATTAGGGTCTGTTTCAATACTTTTGCGTAGGTAAACAGCACTTTCAGTGTTTGTTTCAGTAAACAGAATTGAAGAAACACTTGCTGAGAGCTTCAGGAGGCTTGCTAAATCAATTCCATCAAGTCTGAATCTCCTTAGGATCTTCCCTGCCTCTTATTTTACTACAGAATTCACTCCAGACTCCTTGGTTAAGTACTCAAGACACTTTTTCAAGTGGCCCTACTCCCTTTGTCACCCTCTTAGCTGTTCTTTCTCCAGCAGGTTTTCTTGTTAATCTGCTGTATTGAGCCAAATTAGATTATGACAAACATACTCTTCCATGCTCTGTACCTGTACCTATGAATTCCTACCTTTGGCTCTGCCAGAATACATCTTCTATCTCCTCACTAGTTAGCTTGGTAAATTCTTACCCAGACTTCAAGACCTGGCTTGATTATTTCCATCAGAGAAGCCTGTCCTAACTGCTTGCCCTTCCTGCAGGCAGGCAGGTCTGGTCATTCTTTGACCTTAGACTTGCCTCTTCTTTAGTACTTCTATATGTCTGATCTCTAGTTGCTAGGCAGCTGACTTCACTTTTATATCCCCAGTGTCTGGCTTGGAGTGGGCATGTTGTAAAACTGCTGATTGGATAAGTGGGAGTATATCCCATAAGTTAGAAGCAACTACATTCTATTTTGTTGCTTCTAGTAGTATCTCAGTAAGCCTTGTCACAAGAAGTTTGCATACCTGTGAGGAGTCATTCTTCATAAGTTTCCACTTCTGAATAACCCATGGTACTAGTCCTCAGCAACACAGGGCCTCTGTGAGCTGCACTGGGCTTACTGTATGTTGTTATATGTTAAAAGAACGTGCCAATGAGTAGCAAAGGCCTTGGCCTATAAATCCTAGCTGCTCAGGAGGCTGAGACCTGGAGAAAGCCAGCCCAGAGAGAAAAGTCTGTGTATCTCCAATTAGCCAGCAAAAAAGACTGGAGGCATACTCAATTTGTCGAGCAACAGCCATGAGTAATCAAGCTGAATGAGATCACAAAACCCTGAGTTCAAGTCCCAGTACTAGCACTGAGACAGAAGGACGGAGAGAGAGGGAAGGGAGGGAGGGATAGAGGGAGGGAGGGAGGAGAAAAATAGTAATGTTAACAACCAATTAATAACTCAGTAACTTGTATGTGCATTTTGCTTTGTCATGCTTTGGAAAACAACTAATGCCTTTCTGTCCTTACAGTTAAACGCTTCAGAGAACCAAAGCATGAAAGACGACCATGGAGGATATGGTATGTATTAAAATGTTAACACATTCCTAGAAGGCTTTTAACTGTGTTGGGGGTTTTTGTTTGTTTTAGGGGGAGGATACTTAGAGGGGTACTTAGAGGATAGAATATGAAAATTACATATAACAAAAAGTTACATTTGATTCTTTTGAGTTAATCATTAGAATCAATGTATATCAAAGCACTAAGTTTAGCTTTATTTGTTTAATTTTTTTTTTGGTAGTAATTAGGATTGGAGCCCAGGGCTTCCGGTTGCTAGGGAGATACTTTAACACTTGAACCATGCCTCCAGCCTTTTTGTTTTGGTTATTTTTGAGATAGGATCTCACTTTTTACCTGAGCCAGCCTATACTTCAATCCCTTATTTATGTTTCCCCAGTAGCTGCGATGATGCATGTGTTACCATGCCCAGCATTTTCCGTTGAGATGGGCATCTCATGATGCTTGGAATTGGAATCCTTCTGATCTTAGCTAGGATGACTGTCATATACCAGTAGCCATATGTATAGCTCATAGATTGAGAGAGGGTTTTGCAAACTTTTTGCCCAGGCTTGTTCAAACCTTGAATATTCTAATCTTAGTCTCCTGAATAGAAAGGATTACAGAGGTGAGCCATTAGCACTCAACTAATCTGTCTGTTTCCAATTTTGAAAGATGGAAAATAGTACATCGGTCTCTGTTTCAGGCTTTGGTTTACCATTGTTAGATTATGCTTCAGTTCTTAGATTCAGTAGTTTAAATGTGTACGGAAAAAAGTAATCTGAAGTTTGGAAATTAGTGAGATATATCATATAAATGCCTCTGTCTTCAGAACTACTTTAGGATAAAAGAAAACTATTTTTAAAACAAATATGTGGGGACTTTTCTCCTTACACAAACTGATTTTCTGACAATCCAGCTACCAGACTAAGTGTCTCATACTTTAATTTAATTCTAACACTATCTGGAGTTAGCATACAAGGTGGGATCCTCCAGAACCTACATTCCTAACTTACAAAATCAGGGGGTCCCCCACAACCCTCTCAGAGGAGGCGCTCAAAATTCAGGAAAACATTCACATACACTGGTTCATTATGAAGAATAAAGATTGTGATTCTCATGGCTGTAACAGAATGTTTGACATCCACAACTTTAAAAAAGGAGTTATTAATTTTTACCATTTCAGAGGCACCAGTCCATTATAGTACAGAGAACATGGCATAACAGCAGCTCACATCATGGTGGCCAGGAAACAGAGGAAGGGGAAAATGCAGGATATAACCACAACAGACATGTCTCCAATAGCCTACTTCCGTTCACCACCTTTAATAATGCCATCATATTATGAATCCATCACAGTATTAATTCATCAATAGGTCAGAGTCCTCACCTAATCTCTGGAAATTCCTCCACATATATCCAGACAGTACACCTTTCTAATCTAAGGTTTTTTCCAATACAATCATCTTCCACAAGATGAACAGCTAGTGAAGAGGTATATATAGTAAACAAAACCTGATAGATGCTAAGCATAGGTGCTTCCATGCCTGTGGATTTGGGATGTAAAATACTCTGCATGTATATTTCATCACCAGCTCTAGAGCACTCAGAATTTAAGGATTTTTATAGAAACTTTATCATGTAGTTATGATTTTTTTTTTAACTCAGACTCCAGCCCTTCTCCTTTCCCTGGAGGATGGGGGCACTGAAAGTTTTAAGCTTCTAATTATGGCTTGGTCTTTCTGGTTATTTTCCCTTTTCTGAAGCCCTCCTGGTACCATAGTCACCTCAGTAGAACAGAGATACTCCCATCATCCAGAACATTTCAAAGGAGTAGGAGCCCTTTAACAGGAACTAGGTCAAAAAACAAAACAAAAAATAAGTACAGTGGCTCATATCTGTAATCCTAGCTACTTGGGGAAGAGAGATAGAAAGAAAGATGTTTGAAGCCAGTTTGGGCAAAAAGTTAGATCCTATCTCAAAGAACAAGCTGGGCCTAATGGTCTGTACTTGTAATCCTGAGAAGTAGAAGTTAGGAAGTAGCTGTTTAAGTCCAGCCCTAGGCAGAAGTTTGAGAGGTTTAGGAGCCAATCTGAAAAAATAAAGCCTAAAAGAGTTAGGGACCAGTTCTCAAGTGTTAGGGTATCTGCCTAGCAAGCATGAAAGACAAAAGATGCCCCTAGCATCGTTGGCATATGAGAAATTTCAATGGGTTTGGGAGCTCTGGGTCAGAAATAAGGAAAGAATCCAAGTGTGGTCTCCTTACAGATACTTCAATACATATTTGTCAGCATTATTTCACATAGAATGACCCTACAGTGGCAGTTTTTTATTCATAATATGAACAAAACTGAGCTTCAGAAATAGATTCCATGGCTGGGATGTAGCTCAGTGGCAAAGCGCTTGCCTAGCAAGTGCAACGTCCTGGGTTCCATCTCCAGGACCATAAAAGAAAAGACAAAAAATACAGTTTAAAAAAAAAAAGAAATAGATTCCAGGGACAAAAGTCTAAAATAGTAAGTCACTTGGAAGAACAACCCCTCAGGATAGCCTGGTGCCTGTAAGCCACCTTTGTAAACTGCCTTAAGCTCACTTCTTTTTTTTGGGGGGGGGGTGTCCAGTTGTGGGGCCTGAACTCTGGGCCTGGGTGCTGTCCCTCAGCTCTTCAGCTCAAGGCTAGCACTCTACCACTTGAGCCACAGCACCACTTCCGGCTTTTTTCTTTTTGCTTATGTGGTACTGAGGAATCGAACCTAGGGCCTCAGGCATGCAAGGCAAGCGCTCTACCACTGAGCCACCTTCCCAGCCCTTAAGCTCACTTCTGTGCTGACAGAATAGTCATTTCCTTCCAAGTGAGACCTTGATAAATCCTTGTGATAAAAATCCCTTTATAAAATGTTAAGCATCTATTTAATTTACTTGTTCTTATAGACATACTGTTGAATGTAGATAATTCTTACTCTTATTTTCCCCTTTACTGGTTCTCTTTTTTCTGGGTATTTAACTTTTGCCTTAGGACGGGGCAGGGACCTGTTAAAGATCAGATCTGGGGACCCCTTCCCCCTGTGTCTTATGCACATTTGTCCTTGAGTCCCTCCCCTCTGCCACTGAGTTTAGGGATTCTGGCCCAGTCACAAAGTTGGTTTGGATGGTTCTAGTTCTGTTCATTTTTCACAAATTATTACCCCCCTGTCCAGTTGATAACTTTAATGGTTCTTTTGTGCAGGTTTTTAGACACTTCCAAACAAGCCATAGGGATGCTATTCATCCACTTTGCAAATGTGTACCTTGCAGACCTTACTGAAGAGGACCCTTGTTCACTGTAAGTGCCATATATTCACATGTGGTCAGGATCTGTCCTCAGCATGCTTTCTTCTTCTAGCCCTCCCCTTCTAGCTTGGGGAGAATGCCCCCTTTCTCCTTTGTGTTCCTTTGCATGCTGCCATGAACTCATACTAAGTGATCAGTTGGGCCTCAGGGCTTTGACAATTACCCCATTCGTTGACTGTCTGACATTCAGTCTGTCCTTTGTGCCCAGGTTTTTCTATGTCTCCAAAGTTCCCAACAGCTCCTGGCTAAACAGGATAACATTGTAGGAATGTTTCTGTGGCTGGAACAGAGCTTTCCTGTCAACTCAGCCATTCAGAGGCAAAGCCATTATTGACAATTTACCCTAAAGAATATATGTCGTTCAGCCTTGTCAGTGAAGAGTGCCACATAGCACCCAGGGCAATCTGTCTGAAACCTTAATTGGCCCTGAAATTTTGTCCTCGTTGCCAGTCCTTCTGTTAGAAGGTGGAGTGGCAAAGGAGGTGTATTTCCTTCATCCGGGCTCTCTTCTGCCTCCTTTTACATGTGGAGCAGCCTACCCTATAGATACCTTTAATATCCTCACATTATAGTTGGTACAGAATAGTTATAGTTTAAGTCATAGTGTGATGGGCTCAGAGTCCACATGGTGCCCTGCTATCTGCCCATCTCCCATTGGTTGAATACATGGTATAGAGCTTGGCCTTCATTTCCCAAGGCATCAGCCTAGCAGTTTCAACAAGTATTTAGCAAGTGAATGAATGAATGTAATGCCAGCAGGTACATCTGTTGTCCTTGTTGTTTTCAGACTGGCTTTCAGATGTGAGAACTCAGGTGTGAGTAGCACTTGGCATTAATTAGATGTGAGTATCTGAGAGCCATAGCCTTGGGGCAGAGGAGAAATTGCTGTGGAAGCCAGTGCTGTTTTATATCTGGTCTGAGAGTGACACCTTGCGACGTTAAAGAGGAGGGCAGGCAGGAAAAATCTGTCATCCTCCCTTTAGGCTGGTTTTCTGGCCTGCTGGGAACTAAGTATAGCATGTGCTCTCTGATGTTGGAGAGCTGTGCTTATATGGCTATGGCAGCCTTTGTAAAGGTCTCAACTGCTTGGAATCTCCCTGCAGTCCCTCTCAATGTCCTAGAGCTTGTTTTTAAGGTCATGACCTTGTTTGCCATTTTATCTCCTCCAGATTGCTGGTGTTTGTGGCCAGCAGTGCTCATCCATACCTGGTTACAGGGCCTTCAAGGGAGGACAGATGGACAAGGGGCCTCTCCTTGGTGAAGGAAAGTGGAAATGGGCCTTATGAGAGAGCGGTCACTGTGGGCGTGACTTCTAGCCCTCCCTCCAATCGTTGGGCCTTTCCCAAATCAGTAAAGTTCTCTTTAAAGTAACAGCTTATGAGGAAGCTTTGTGAGAGCACACTTCCCTAAGTGTACAAGGCCCTGGATTCTGTACCTAGCACTACAAAAAAGAAGTATGAAAGTGTTGTTAGCACATGATTGCTGATGGAAATAAGCAAGGGCCACATGGCCTGCCCTTTTTGTGTAAGAGACTTCAGGGACTAGTTTGCTGACTATCTTGGGACAGCAACACTGTTGTGGGGCCTCATGGGTTGGACCATTAGGGAGAGAGCAAATTCAGTGAGCGGATTTTTGTTGTTAATTAAGTTTTATTTCCTTGTTGATTTCCTTGGCTGTTCCAAGGTACATTTCCTCTTTTGAATCTTGGCTTTGTCAAGACCACTTGAAGTTCTTCAAGCTTTAGTCCTCCCATTGTTCCCTCAAATTGTTGAATATTAGCATCTTGTTGTCAGGCACCTGGAAGTGACATCCATGACCTCTGCAACTTCTTGTATGGGTACATTTAAGGCTGCCAGCTCCCAGAGCAAGTCTAGGTCAAGGCTTACCATGGTGAGCATTGTACTGAGGTCTCAGCCCAATGGTTCTTGCCCACTGACCATGCCAGTACCCTCTCCTCCTAGGTACCTCATCAACTTTCTTCTGGACGCCACTGTGGGCATGCTGCTTATCTATGTGGGAGTGCGTGCTGTCAGCGTCTTGGTGGAGTGGCAGCAGTGGGAATCCCTGCGTTTTGGCGAATATGGTAACATACCATATATATCTGATGGGGCGTGGTAGGGGCAGCATGCTTCGTGCAACCCACCAAGTAAATGAATCCAGGTTTTGGAAGCTGGTGGCTATCTCTGGCATGTGGAGGAGGTAGCTGGTTTTGAGAACTGAACATCCTCCTCCTCCTCACCTTTGTGGCAGGAGCCAAGAGACACCCTAAACTCAGGGAGAGGCTAAACACTTGCTCCTTCTGCCAGAGGGTACTGGCAGAATCACCTTCAGGACTCCACAGCCACCTCCTTGGGTCAAATTTCCCATAGAGCTCACCCTACCTGCCTAACTGTTGGGAATTCTCATTTTGCTAAAGCTCTTTTTCCCCCCTTAATGCTATACACTTGTGCTTGTCCCATGCTAGACTATTCTGCTGATAGAGCAGAGCTCACACAGCCAGGCATGGGGGTTCATCTCTAAGGCAACCTGTAGTCAAGCTGCCTTGCTTTCTTCCAAGTATGTGCCCCTACAGTTTTCCTCCAGTTGGTATCTGGATGTACCAGTCACATCATCAGAGATGTGATGTCAATCAAGGCTTAAAACAGACGACTTGTGGGTGATGGCTTGTCTTATCAGACTCTCTGAGACACAGCTTGAGTAGGAAGCTGTCTGTATGCTGACTCTGAGCATGAGAAACAACTGGTGTGGCCTTCATGGGGCTGCTGGTCAGCCACCCTCTTTGGGTCCTCACTTGTGTTTCAGGACAAGTTTGAGGAGTCAGAGCTCTATCGTACCTTCCCTGTGAGCCCTGTTGTCTGTAGGCAAGAGCTCTTTTCTCAGCTGGAGTTTTATAATCACAGCCACCCAGGACAAGAGGTGGGGAAGTGGGAATGGAACTCTGGATCCCAATCCTCTTTCCTGGTTAGGCCTCTCAACTCATGGCTCTGGGAGCAGTGGCCACTCACTCCTAAATGGCTGAAGATCCTCAAGGGACTGAGGTGTAAAAGGACAGCTGACTCACAGTGCTAGCTGTGAGTGTTTGGGGAATTTGTAAGAACAAGTAATTATTTATTTCCACTGGGGGGAGATGAGTTCAGGGGAGGGCTTTTCTTAGCCAGTTACTTGATGCTAATGAGTCACTAACTTAAGATAGTGTCCACCACCAACATGTGCCTCCTCGGACTCCAGGGAAGGCTTCTGAGGTGCTCTGAGCCATCAGTTCCTCAGCTTGCAGGATAAAAATGGTCCACACAGTGGACCACCCAGAGGAGTTAAGTGACACACCTAGCCAATGTTTACCTTCTGCAGCAAGATTCTTAAGCCCTCCCACCTCCATGAACAGTATTCACCATACTCCTTTGCTGCCAAGATCCTTTCTGGAAGGCTATATTGACCAGCGCTAACATGGTTCCCCATAGTTAGCTGTGTGACCTGGGAGTGAAGGTCAGGTCTGATCCTGATACACTATGAATTAAAGTACCAACTGTTCACAGACATATTTTATATGTCCCCACAAAAGGAAGAAGGCAGTGGCTGTGTTTGCACCTCCTTCTCCTCCCATATTGCCTACTTTGGCCCCTGTCTTGCCTAAGTCATTGCTATTGGGAACCAGTCTTCAAGACATAGCATCTCCAGAGAAAGTTGCCTATTCTTTCCCCAGACTGACTCCTCAGTTATCTGTTTTCTACTTGTTAATATCTATTGTTTTCTATTGCTGCTGAAACAAATTAGCACAGACTTGACATAATCCAGATTATCTTACAGATCTTTAGAAGTCCAGTGTGTGGTTCTCTTGACTAAAATCAAGGTATCACTAGGAGTAGATCCTCTGGAGGTGTTAGGAAAATTAATTCTGTTGCCCTTTGCAGCCTCTAAAGGCTGTCTGCATTCCTTGGCTCTTGGCTCCCTTCTTCTGTCTTCAAAGCCAGCAATAGATCAGGTTCTTCTCACATCACACTGCTCTGTCCTTGCTCTGACCTTCCACTGCTGTCTTCTACAGTGCCATAAGATAACTTGAGTGTATCTAGACACTTCATTTACTCTCCCTATCTTTAAGTCAGCTGATTAGCAATCTTGATCCCATTTGGTAGTTGTGATTCCTCTCTTTGCTAGGAAGTATCACGTATCTACAAGTTCCAGGAAATAGGATGTGAACATCTTTGCAGTACCATTATTCTGTCCACTGTATCTGTGAGCCTATCTGTAAATTAGAGGCAAGAATAATACCCATGTATTCCTGCCTCAGTAGAAAACAATAACCAAAGCCTTCTTCTGAGGTAAATGAAGAAGAGGAGCTTAGTTTCACAGGACTTAGGACATTTATGCCACACTTGTGTGACCTAAGGAGTAGTTCTGGGGTATTATGTAGTATCTGCAGGCTGATAGCCAGGCTACTCCTTCTCTGAAAATAAAGTCATTGTCCATGGCACTGCTTCATTTGCTTTGCTACTCACCCCATCTAAACACTCCCTCCCAGAAGCCTTTTAACACAGATGTGTTTCTTGGGCCCTTTTTCCCTACAACTTACTTTCTGAGGGAATGATTCACCAAAACCAAATACTCATCACCTTGAGCTTGTCTAGAACAGAAAGGAGCAGGAGACAGCAACCATACCTGGAACATTTGTCAGTTAGAAATGAGATTTATGAGGTATATTTGAAAGACTCAAAGAAACAGAAATGAAAAAAGCTATACATGGGCATAGTCCAGCTGTGATGACATGTAGCCTGGACTCACAGGAGAGGATGTGTCAAAGCTAGATCATAGACTGTGTTTCTCTTTTTCCCCCCCATCGTTTTGAACTTTGTATGTTGAGGAGAAGGAGTGTACTGGGGTTTTAACTTAGGGCCTGGCAGGCACTCTACCACTTGAGCCATCCTGCCATGCCCTTTTCTGATTTAACTACTTTACAAATAGTGTCTCCCATTTATTCTCAAACTGGCCTAGAACACAATCCTCCTATTTGCATTTTCCACATAGCTGGGATTACTCTAGGATTACAGGTATGCTTTTTTGATGCCCAGCTTTTCATTGACTGAGATAGTGGCTTGTGAACTTTTTTGCTTCGTCTGGCCTTGAGCCACTATCCTTACAGTTTCTACCTCCAAAGCAGGTCTGAGGCACCAAACCAAACTGGACTTTCTTATTTCTGCATCAAAATGAAACAAAAGGCAGTAGTGGGGGCTGGGAAGGTGGCTCAGTGGTAGAGCGCTTGCCTTGCATGCCTGAGGCCCTGGGTTCAATTCCTCAGCACCACATAAGCAGAAGAAAAAGCCGGAAGTGGCACTGTGGCTCAAGTGGTAGAGCGCTAGCCTTGAGCTGAAGAGCTGAGGGATAGCACCCAGCCCCAGAGTTCCCACAACCGGAGGCCACACCCCCCAAAAAAGGCAGTAGTAACAGGTCATTTGTGCAGCTGAACCTCAGAAAGCAGATGGAAAGAAAATCCATTTCCTCTTTTACTAATCAGTCACAGTTTAAGAGCAAATGGAACAAGTATGCTCACTTGCTCTTCTGACCTGTAGGCACACCCGTCCCACTTCAGATCTTTCCCAGTGGTGCTTCCTGTCAGGCTATCCTAAGTCTTGCTTAATAATTTTAGCAAATAGCTTTGTTTACTTGTTTTGAGAACTTTTCTCAATAGCGTCATGATTTACTGAAAGCATTACAAAATTCCTTGAACAACTTTGCAAAGGTGCATTGTGCTTCTGAAATGGTTTGCCTCTGGTTCACATTCCCTACCCTAGAGGTGAAGGAAATAGGAAGACCTCCAGAAAGGCAGCTGGTGTGTTTCTGCATGCTTTTTTTTATCACCTGTCGCCCAGTGGTTTTCAGAAAAGGGAACAGCCTAGTCCAGTGTGTTTCCCACTATATTTGGGTAAAGGCATTCACTTGTATTTCCACTGTGCATAGATGACAGGCCTGGGCAAGGCTGTAGCATGGGTGACTAGACAGAGGTTACTATGAAAACAAAAGAATCCATGAGAAGCTGGAGACTTCTCTTTGGGTCTTATATGCTCATAGCCTGAATTGGGGCCTTTGCCGCCCCTAAACTGTTACTCTGCTTCCGTTCTGGGCAGCAAAGTTCAGGCAGCTTCAGAGTAAGCCCCCTGTTCTCTCTCTGTCTCTCTCTCTGTCTCTCTCTGTCTCTGTCTCTCTCTGTCTCTGTCTGTCTGTCTCTCTCACACACACACACACACACACACAGCGCCAACTGTTTCCAAATTTCCCACTTTGGGTAGGTGTATGTGCCTGCCACAGGTTCATCACCTTGCAAGATCATTGCCTGGAACGGCTGCTCCTCCACCCTTCTTTGAGTCTCTTTTCAGTGTTCTGGAGCACTCCAGGGCCCAGGGAAGGTTCTCCAGAATGGACTTTTAGACTTTTCCATTTCTCAAGCATAGTGACTAATGAGATCACAGATGGGCCTCTTGTCACAGTGGCATACCTTAGCTTATACCTCCCACTTCCTTGATAGGAAGGCTTCTCTGTCTTCTTCCTGTCCCTAGCCCCAGGGTGTTTGGGGATCACCCATACTAGACAGTATGGATCTGAATTTCTCCAGGTCAGATTTCTGCAATCAGGGCAACAGAGATGGCTGGGGAGTAGGGTAGTAGTGAGGGATGGACAAGAGGGAGATGACCAAAGGGCTTGACTACTACCTTCATAAATCAGCTGCCTTCATCATAAAACTCTTCAGTCTATTGATTCACAGAGGAAAGGAAGGATATTGCTCACTAGTCATTGAAAAATTCAACAGTGGATAATAATAGTAGTCTTACTTCACATGGCTTTTGCTGCCAAAGGACAGAGAGAGCCAGCCTTTCTGAGCCCCAGCAACGAGCACTTACTAACATTAGTATCTCTTAATTCTGTCGTAGAATCTCTTAAAAGGCAGGCCATTCTGGTATGTCCAAATTAGGAATTCTCTGATTCTATTCAAAATCTGCTAGGGATAAAATAGCTTTTAGGTCTCATGAAGTACTAATAGAGCCAGGGTCCTGGAGAGTGGCTGCAGATGTGAGGGCTGGTGGGAAGCTGTGGAGAGTTGGGTGAGGGCATGTCCCACTTGGATGCCTGGGCCCATGTAACTAAGCATCTTCTTGTCCCTGCAGGAGATCCTCTGCAGTGTGGGGCCTGGGTTGGGCAGTGTGCCCTTTACATTGTGATCATGATCTTTGAAAAGTCGGTCGTCTTCATCGTTCTCCTCATACTCCAGTGGAAAAAGGTTTGCCTCTCATCCCTGATTCTGCAGCTCCCTGATAAGCTAAGCAAACAGGACCTTCCGCCCAATCACCCTCACAGTCCAGCCTGGTTGGAAAACCAACATTGTTTTTGTTTTAACTGCATGAATGCACCCTGGATTTGGTCTGACAGGCAGTTATTTACAAGAGCATTAACTTCTTGTTCTCTTACTTGGCATCCACCAGCTTCATTTAAAAAAATGTCTACACTTTGTGATGCATAGACTAATAGAAATATAGTCTCTGTCTGTGAGTTGCCTATGATCTGATTAATCCTCAGACTTTGCAACTGTCAATGTCTCTGGGTTTGTAGATTTCCTCATGTACCTGTCTTGACCAGATTTAAGTCATTTGGTATCACAGGCAGCTGCCAGTCTGTGACCACCTACAAGCTGATACCTGGCCTAGCCTCTGCCATCTGCTCCCAGTGCTATGTATGTAAGACCTGCAATTCTTGTTCCCACAGTGAAATCACTGAAGAGCTTTCTGGAACATCACAAAGCTTGGCTTCCCTTTGGGTTTTTTTTTTGGGTCCAGTTGTGGGGCCTGAACTCTGGGCCTGGGCGCTGTCCCTCAGCTCTTCAGCTCAAGGCTACCACTTGAGTCACAGTGCCACTTCTGGGTTTTTTCTTTTTGCTTATGTGGTGCTGGAGAATCGAACCCAGGGCCTCATGCATGCAAGGCAAGCGCTCTACTGTTGAGCCACCTTCCCAGCCCCTTCCCTTTGGTTTTATATCTGTGACTGGGTTATTCTTTTTAAGTAAATAAGCCAAGGTGTTTCAGAGCTACTGGCCCTTGGGGCTTCAGGCCCCTTCCCACTTGGTTTGAGCACTGTTTGGCTCTGGGCCAGTGATTGTAAGTCCACTGTGCTTTGCAAGTTCACACCAAATAACAACTCAGAATGGCTTCAGGATGAGTCCCTTGTTAGCAGTTACATATAGGGCACTCTATGGCCATGGACCCTTAGGTCTGTTCCCTCTGTGCTCTAGGAGAGTATCTAAACTAAGCCCCCCTCGGGGATTCTTGCACCTTATCCATGGCCTCCCACCTCACTGAGTCTGCTTCTCTTTACAGGTGGCACTACTGAATCCTATTGAAAACCCAGACCTGAAACTCGCCATCGTTATGCTGATTGTACCCTTCTTTGTCAATGTCAGTGCCATATTGCCTGTTTTACCCCAGATTATGCTTTGCCTTGCCAGGTTCCTGTTCATAGTTCTGAGTTTGGCAAACTACTTGCCAGCTCCTCAGTCTCACTCCTATACCTAGAGATTGTGGGATTAATTCCTCAAAAGACAGGTTCCCACTCCAGCTCCCCTATCAGGATGAAAGGTCCTGGAAACTTTGTCTTGTTCTCCCCACTGGGAGATCTCCCACTGAAGCATCACACCCAATGTACAATGCAACTTTTAGGTCAGGACCATTTCAAACATTCCCTAATCATTTATTTCTGACCTCAGACTTTAGGGAAACTCAAGAGCACAATGGCCTTTTTTTTTCTTTTTTAGGTGAGGAACCAGTGATAATAGTGGTAAAGGAACCAGGGCATGCAGATGTGGCAGAAAGTGCAGCCATATGCTCTGGGCCTGTGGGAATCCAGAGCAGGTATCCAGAGACTTTGGTTATGGATGGATGGCAAGAAATAAGATTTAGGCAGAGTCTGAGCTAGGTGTTCTGTGATCCAGGCTAAGGATTTGGGACACGCTTGTCTGAGTCAAAGACAGGCTGCCTGTTACTTAAAAACTCATTAGTGAATAGGGCAGAAGTTTTCTTGCCTCTTCTATAACAATTAAACTTCAACAAAGGAAATAGAGATTAGCAATCTCCCTCAAAGCTTCTGGAAGATTTCAGGGAACTGGATAAGGTTTCTCTTTCACTAGTTCTGCATTTTATAAACTGAATAGATCTGGGTAAAAGTTTATACAAGGGCCATTCTGCTTTGCTTTGAAGTGGACTATCCCAGAGTAACCTGCACTTCCTCTTTCATCAGGCATTGATGTTTTGGGTAGTAGACAATTTCCTCATGAGAAAGGGGAAGACGAAAGCTAAACTAGAAGAAAGGGGAGCCAACCAGGACTCAAGGAATGGGAGCAAGGTCCGCTACCGAAGGGCAGCATCCCATGAAGAGTCTGAATCTGAGGTAGGGGCTTCCCAAATTCTGTCTGTCATTCCACCAGCCCCTACTTGTCTTGTGCTTCATTTGGTTACCTGACTATTGCATCACAATACGAGGCAGAAGGAGGGAAAAAAAATGAGCCAAGAGGAACATGGAACACATAATGGAGGCAGCTTGCCTCTGGGACCTCTGCCAGCAGAGAATGGCAAGAGGGGAGCTGTCTCATTTCTAGGAAGCTACAAAGACCTTGGGCTTCATGGTTGATCTTTAAGCACTAAGGTGCCCTGCCCACCATCAGCAGACAATTGATCTGTTGGCTAAACCAGCAGGAAACTTCTAAAATGTAGGAATAGGCAGACCTTGAAGGAATAGCCTCATTTCTCCTCATCTCTTAGTCTCTTAAGTCCAAAGATTTGGACTTCAGAAAAAATGGTATTGATAAGCATTAACATAAGAGGCCAGGATATGTGTCCTGGTGGCCCTCTGTACTTTCTGTACTTCTACACCTTAGCATGCAGCAGGCTGGCTCAGAGGAGTCTGAGGAAGCTCTTATAGTATGCTGGCTCTGTGTTCTTGAGAGCAGCCACAGAAATGATGGAGATTGATGCCTCCCTGAGAGGTCCTCAGGCTCACGAATGAGGTTGATGTAAAGGTAGATAGGTAAACAGCTCATTCATTGTCATGTTCATAGTGCATTCTGAGAATTAAGCATAAACAACCCCATAAAGACCCTGGGAAATCCAGAGAAAGTTTTAGGAGATGCACAGATAAGATGGAGAAAGCCCTTTTCTTCTGTAGTTTAGTATTTCTATGATCTTGCACAAGTTTGCCTCATTGTAAGAACTTGGTGAACATCCAGTGAATGACAGCCTTAAAGGCAAAAACAATAAATAGATCATGTGATGTGACATCTAGGTAATAATGTGAAATTCATGATGACCAGAGCAGCGTTTATTCCAGAGTGTAGGATGGATGAAAGAAATGAGATTTAGCCAGAGTCTGAAGTAGATGGCAAGGTGCTCTGTGGTCCAGGCTAAGGAACTGGGACATGCTTGTCTAGGCAGTAAGGAGCCAGTAAAGGTTTAGTTGGGAAAGCCCTTAAGAGATCAGTCCAGGAGAGATGTGGTAAGTTGTTTGCCCTTGTTCCAAAGTAGGAGTTTGTGTTCCCCTGTACAAGTGGGCTTTGGGCCTCTCTACCTAATGTAGACTGTCCAGTATTTCTGTGGTACTCAAAGACTGAGGCCATTTGGTAGGAATTGAACAAGTATGTTGTCCTGAATGTCCTAGCTTCATGATTGAGTTGTTCCAGGGTCTCAGAAAAGTAAATGTCAGCCTTTGCCTTCAAATGTTGTAGATTGGTTGGAGACAGACCCTCTGAAATCCTGCTGTACTGTGTGTGCCCTCTTGATGATTTCTTTTCCTTTTAAAAGGGGCTTGTCAGTTTATTTCTGCTGCAAAGCCCTGGGACTCCATACATCAAGATGAAAGGTATCGGGGCTGGGAAGGTGGCTCAGCAGTAGAGCGCTTGCCTTGTATGCATGAGGCCCTGGGTTTGGTTCCTCAGCACCACATAAGCAAAAAGAAAAAAGCTGGAAGTGATGCTGTGGCTCAAGTGGTAGAGCGCTAGCCTTGAGCTGAAGAGCTGAGGGACAGTGCCCAGTTCCAGAGTTCAGACCCCACGACCAGACCCCCTCCCAAAAAAAAAGAAAGGTATTTTGCCTGCTGAGTTAGCTCTGATTTGTTTGGGTCCAGCTGAAGGTTGAATGGAGAAGTGAGGAATTCTAGCAGAGCCTGAGGGTTTCTGTAGACCAGCATGTCTCATTGTATAAGGTGAGGGGCCTTCCTATTGCCCTTTTCTAAGGAATTATAAGACTTGACACCTTCCAGGGGTGCCCAGGGTCCTAGGAGAATAAGCCCAGAAGTCACTGCTGACAGTAACTCAGGCCATGTTTCTCTGTTGCTCAGATCCTGATCTCGGCAGATGATGAAATGGAGGAGTCAGATGCAGAGGAGGACCTCCGCAGACTAACCCCACTTAAGCCTGTGAAGAAAAAGAAGCATCGCTTTGGGCTGCCTGTATGACACATTCCCTTGCAGGAGATGACAGGTTTGGGGCCAACCTGGCTGCTGGATCAGCAGATGGTCACCCCACAGCATTATCCCTTCCTTCCTCTCTGCCTCTCCTCTTCTACCTCCATTCCTCTTGCTGTCTCCTGCTCTCTGCCTACCCCAGACTACTGTGACTTAAAAGAGGAAAGAGGAACCAGCAGCCAGGGATGCTGTGGGCAGCTGGAGGGCCCCTGCTCAGTTGCACTACAAACACTGACCAAATATGCAAGCTAAGAGCTTTGTTTGTTTGTTGTTGTCCTGAACAGTGTTGTGAGGGACCCTATGTCTGACTGAGTGGCATGGTGGAAGAAACCATAGCACATACAGACCTTGGTGGGTCTTCACACCGAGGCTGCTGACTCTATGGACTTATGTTGTGCTTGGGGTTGACAGTCATTCATTGACCAAGTTGGAATTAGAATGCTTTCTTACTCCAAGTGGCTTTTTGTAACTCTTGATTTCTAAAGCCTGTTTTACGAGCTATGACAGTGTTACTGTTTTTTGAGTATGTGTTTATTTCCTACAAAATACCTACGCACTAATGGGCAAAACATAGATTTTTAAGTCTTCCGTATGCTATTGACTTTTATACTTTTAAGTTATATTTTTATACTATTGTATTTAAAAACTTTTTAAACCCCAAAGAAGTGGATTTGTTTGCCTTTCATGGGGTATGAGCTGGAGAGAGAAAAAAGTCAGGAGTTTTTTTGTTGGCACTGTTGTTAAGTAATGTCTGGTAATAAGATGAGGTAAATGATCCTGTAGGAGAGATAAATGATAAATGATAGCCTTTATCTGGAAATAGAAGGCTGGTGATGTGTGAAGGTGAAGCATGAGCATGAGGCAGCTTTTCTGAAGGTGATCTGGGTGCCCCAGTGTGTGGATCAGGAAGGCTTCTTCTAGGGCCCATGAGCTCATTGGCATTTCTGCTGGCAGGTTATAGACCTTGGTTACATGTGACTGAGAAAGAAGTTCAGGAGTTAGAACTTTGTGTAGCAAGGAATCACAACCACCAGGCTACCCTTGCTTGTTCCCTGTCTCTCTTCATAGTCTCAACCTCTTTGCCACCATTGTGGGAGTTACAGAGCCAGCCTCTGCCCTACCTGTCACCTGCTGCCATCTGCTTGCTTGTACAACAACTGAAGAACATCCATTTGGCTAGATGAGCTTGCTTTCGCACACTCCAAAGCTGTGAGGTAGCTGAAGAGGCAAGAGAGCCAGCTGTCTAAATTCACGAGAACATGAAGTACTTCTAGACTGTGCTCCCATTCTCCCCCTTGGGTTGACATCCACTCCTCAATATGGCCACTGGTACTCTTAGTTTGCTTTAGGGTGGAACAGGGCAACCCTGCAACTGTCCCTGCTATAGAAGCAACAAGGTGGAACTGCCCACTGTTTGTTCAAGCCAAGAAGCAGCCATGGACATTTAGGAACAGAAAAGTGCTTTGCTACAGTGCTAGCTAGAAGTGAGATGACCCAGGCTTTAGATGAGACTAGTATACAGGGAGATTACTCTAATCAGAGCCCTCTCCTTAAGCCCTATGTAAAAATATGTTTTACTTAAGCATGAATCTGGATATGCTTCTGTGTGAGCCAAGTGGTTAGATGAGGCACTTGGGACTATCTTCTGCCACTCAGCTAGTAAGATGGCATCTGTCTGGGGCCTGCATTACTCCAGTTCTCAGGTCTTCCCTCTACCTACTATTATCCTATGGCTGTGGTCTTTCCCCACCCCATCTCTAGTGAGACCTTACTAAGTTGTATTTGGGAAGAGGACTGGCATGTCTGGAGAGACAGTTCCTGGTGGCTTTGCTGGTGCAGTGCTTGTTCTCCCTTTCTGTTCCATTATACATTGGCCAACCTGTAACATAGCTGTTTCTGCCACCTTTGTTGACACCTTCCTGGAGCTCAGAGTCAGGGCTTCACTTCACTTTCAGAGTCAGGGCTTTGACTTTAGAGACTCTTTGTGTCTCTAAACCAGGCATAGAAATAAGGGATCCACACTATGAAGCATGGCAACTCCAGATTGTATAGGTTTCAGATGACCGCATCTTCAGGCTCATCCCAACTCCTGCTGAGCAGTGGCTTGGAGGACAGTGAACACAGGTATTCTCCTGTGGGTTTTTGTGATCTTCAATAAATAGGCTTTAGTCTCTGACCTGCATCTAATTAGTGGCACAATAAGAATGGAATTCTAACAGATGTCTCATCAAACCAGTGGGCTCCTGGTTTGCAGGTTTGGGCAGTTTGGCATCCATCACATGTTTTGCCTTACCTTTCTGTGTGGATGGTTATACATACACATCCCTGGGAGAGCCTCTGGTGATCACTGTCCCATGAGAGTGGATGCAGAGAACTGTGGTCAGGGCTTTCTCCTGAACTGTCTTTCCTCCCTGGGTTGAGTTTCCTCACCACCTGCTCCACAGTGCCTTATGAGGTTACAGCCCTTCACTGGCCAATGTCAAGCAGCACTATGCTTGAAAAATGACAGAATGAATACTATTATATGCTGTCAATTTGATTTTTCTAAGTCTGGACCTTGGCCAAGGCACTCATGGTAGAAACTTGAAAATCAAGGTCATAAAGGAATTTCTTATTATCAGTAAAAATAAACTAATGAGTCAAATGAGCTTTCATTTGATTGGAAGAGATGATAGTTTTCATTCCTTCAACTCTCGGTAGGACATGGATAATGTCAAGGGGGCAGTGGCTTCTCAGTCTGTTCAGCCTGAAGATGTGTGAGGTGAAGGTTCATGAGCGCCTCAACTTCTAAGCACACTGGTGGCCTCCTGCCTCAACCTTTAACTCATGCCCTCTATCACAACAAGTGTTAGGATATAATGTCACCTCTTATGCCTCTTTCTTCAGGGAAAATGTACAGTGTCTCAAATGCAAGTTGTAACTTTCCTTCAATAGTATAGACTGTATGCTGAGTCTAGAATCCTCATTTGAAGACTGCTTCAGGACAGTCCTCCAGACTGCAGTTCATTGGCTTTCTTTTTTCCAGCTAAGCTAAGATAGGTGGCCTGAGGGGTCCTTGTGAGATGTTGGTAATCCTTGAGGGTCTTTGTGTTCAGTGAGGAACTTGTGGTCTGACTTGCTTTGAGCATCTTGAGTTCTGGGTGGGTGGGAAGGTTGGCTGGTTGGTTAACTCATTGGTTGGTTTGGTTGGTTTACATTTGATTTCTCTTTCCATGGAGTTTATTAGAAGCAAGTTGTGTGAGCAAAACCATGCCCACATTAGCTGCCATCCAAGTGGGGATGTTTGTCGGTGGGAGTATTATGCATCACGGCAACACATTTTTTTAAATGAAAGGGAAGACCGATGTACCTACATTGTAAAATGGTTTACAATAAAGTTTCACATCTTACTACAGTTTTTTTTTAAAGAAAGCATCACTTTTGTGGTCATTGGTTGTATGTTCTCTGGAGTGGAAAAGCTTAGTAGGGGGAAAAATATTGCCCAGTGAGAGAACAAGAAGCAGAGTGAGAATGAACCTTGTATCACCTCGTGTTAGCAGTGAAACCAGATTGCCAAGGAAAGAAGCCAAATGTACTCTGGCCATTTCCACTGCCTTACTAAGAAAAAAATTAAGCCAGTTTCCTCCCAAGGAATAAGTTGTTGGGAAATAGAGTAAGAAGTAAACATCCACATTCTTGTCCTCAAGGTGAGCAGAACCAGCAGTAGGTAGTGCTGAAGTTGCAAGGACCTCTTGCAGTAACCCCCTTGGCACAATGGAAAGGCCTGCTCAAGGCCTGGCCTGCCCTTCACCTCCTCCTGGCCCCTCTGAGTCCAAGGCATTCCTAGATCAGCACCTATCTCTACCCAGTCGTGGCAGTGCTCACTGGGACCAGGATCAGAGGAGAGACTGGGATGAGCTTTGAGCTATGCCAGCCACAGACTGGCATTTGGGATAACCAGATATCAGTGCTTGACTGAATTCCATGTGCCTAGAACTGACAAGGATTAAAATAAACTCCATCACAAACTGGGAAGGAGTTGAGATATGTCTGATCTTATGGGGACAACTCTGACTTCCTATTCACATCCACTCCCACCTTCCCCCCCCCACACACACACACCTCAAGTTTAGGATCTTGTCATGTGACACACAGGAATTTCCCCTGCAAAGGAAAGGATGTTGGGAGCTCCCAGAGGGGACAGCTAAGCAACCTTCCAGGAGTTCCCTTGGGCTTCTTCTCTCCACAGACCAGTATCTGGAGTGGCTTCACTTGCCCTGCTGCAGCATTTAAATTGCTCTTGGGCTCTAGAACTCTCACTCTCCATAACCTATTTCAGGCAGAGGTTTTCCTTAGGGCTCTCACAAGTATGCATCATCTCCTTCCAGTCCTTCCTGGGCTCCTTATCCTGGTATTGCTTCATAAAGGATGAGGACATCAGCAAAAATAAGATAAACAGCTCCCTTGGCTCCTTTCAGCCCTCAACCTTAGTTTCTTCACCTATGAACCAATGGTGACCTCTTACTCTGAGTCTACTGCTACAGCCTAGGGAGCTTACCATGAGGAAGTGCTTCCATTTGACAGGCACAGTTTCTGCCCTGCTACTTAGATAGAAAGTTTTCCCATTGAAATCCACAAGAAAAAAGAGCAACCAACTGCCTCAAAACTTCCCTTTCCTCGGGTACAGGCCTCTCCCCCCGCCCCCCCCCCCCACACACATACATACTCATTCAGATGGGCCTGTGCAGATTGTTAGCTCAGACTGTCACATTCCAGGACCCACATTCATAAACACACAGCCAGTTACCAGCAGTGCCAGAGCCTCCCACTCCAGATAGAACAGCTGTTTCCAAGGGTGCAGGGTCTCCTCAGCTGTCTGCTTTCACAAGGGCTGCTGCCCCATCATCTCCAAGAATAAACTGTGTGGACAACAGACTGTGTGGATATGAATCATCAGGGAGCCTGTTGGAGGAGGAGGAGTGACTTCCTAGGACTGCCAAGCAGACTATATAAGCTCCAGAGGGCTGAGCTCCACTCGGATCTCTTCAGATCTCTTTCCTCTGCTACTGCCTTCCAGAGAGGTGCCTGTGGAGATCCAGTTCTTGCTCAGCGCTCAACATGTCCCAGGTAGGAGGGTCCAACATAGTCCAGGTTGGGGCCAAGGGATTAGGGGTGGGAGCCTGGATTCTATCATCTTTGGCATCTGTCTTGGGCTAAGATCCAAGCATAAACAGGAGGCAGCTCCTAGAAGGCTGAGCTCCAGGACACCCAGTCACCCTGATGAATCCTTGTACTGCTTAGCCTTGTTATTTCCTGGCTTCTTAGGAGAGGTCAGCTTTAATGTCTGGTACTTATATCACTCTTCTTGTGCCCTTGTATATGATGGAACTGTATAACTTACTGTAGTTGTGATCTCTGAGGCTGTGCAGTGTGAATGTATATTTGTATATACGAGGCTGTGCCTCTAGGTGCACAGTTCTGTCCCCTGTATCCCAGCAGGATGTGTCTGGGGATGGGGAAATACTGCCTGAGGAGCCTAGCCCAGGCTGAGGTAGGAAATCCCTGCACCTGTTCTCAAGGCTTAGAAAGGAATAAGACCTCAGACATACAGGCGCCTGGGGTTGAGGATAGGCTAAGCTCTGGTCTGGCTATCCCAGCACTGGAGGGACCAACAGACTAGCCTGCCAAGGGGTTACCTTAACCGCCTGCTCTATGGGTGAGTGCCAAGTTGGGACTAACTGTATGGGCATCTAAATTGTCTATCCATTCCCCTCCCAAACACTAAAAATACAAGTACTTTTTCAGAGGAGAGCAATTCCTAAGGGACTCCCAGGCACCCAGTGATGAGGTGGGAGGTTTTTCTTGGGGGAGGGGTTGGTCGGTCATGGGGCTTGAACTCTGGGCCTGGGCACTGTCCCTCAGCTCTTCAGCTCAAGGCTAGCACTCTTACCAAGCCACAGTACCACTTCCCAGTTTCTGGTGGTTTATTGGAGGTAAGAGTTTCACAGACTTTGCTGCCCAGGCTGGCTTTGAACTGCAATCCTCCAATCTCAGCCTCCTGAGTAGCTAGGGTTACAGACATGAGCCAGCAGATCCCACCAATTTTTTAACAGATTCTGTAAGGCAACTCAGCCTCAAGCCAGTCCCTTTCCCCATTGTGTCTACTCTAAACTTATCCAAGTCTTAGAGTATTCACTGTTCCTCCCCCCCGCCCCCCCCCCCCCCGACACTCCCCCGACCCATTCCCTAGACTTTAGGAGAAGGGCAAATGTACAGGTCAGATCAAGAGATCTGAGGCTCAGAGTTGGAATGTTGTCAGGAAGGCCTGGAAGAGGAATGGGCCTAGAATTGGCTTCAGTTCAATGAGCCAAGAAGCGGAGTGTCAGCTAAGGCATGAAGGTAGAACGGCTACCTTGAAGCCTTGGGTTGTAATATAAGGCTTTGGATTCCCCAAGGCTGGCATTCCAGAAGCCCCCATTAAGAAGAAACGTCCTCCTGTAAAAGAGGAGGATCTGAAGGGGGCCCGAGGGAACCTGGCCAAGAACCAGCAGATCAAGTCCAAGACGTACCAGGTCATGCAGGAATGTGGTAAGTGTCTTCCACATGAGATGGGGTTTGGGACACAGATAATCTGCTGGTGGTGTTTGGTGGGGGGATGTCAAGGGTTCTTTTCTGAGTCCAGAACTCCACAGTCTAGGTGGGATTGCCCTAGCGCTTGGGGCCTTACCTCCAAAGAAGCCAGAACAGGACAGATTTGACAGTATCTTCTATACCTCTTACCCACACAGAGCAAGCTGGCTCAGCTGCCCCATCAGTATTCAGCCGCAACCGCACAGGCACTGAGACAGTTTTTGAGAAGCCCAAAGCTGGACCTGCGAAGAGCGTCTTTGGCTGAGAAGTGCATGTCACGCCCTGTACCACCCTGAACACCTCGACACAGGAGCCTTTCCCACGGACTCTTTTTTTAATGCCAGATCACCCCTTCATCCCTGCTATCTCTGAGACTGCCACCTTTCCCTAAAGCCCTAGCCCTCTGTACGAGTGCCTAAGAAACACCAATAAAGAGGATGCCTGTGGCCCCAGCATTGGGAAGGTGTCAGTTAGTCATTGTCATGAATACTAACTGAAGGTGAAGGGGAGAACAGGGTGTGATGAGGGGATGTTCGATGCCCTATCTGGACTTTTGAAAAGTCACAAAGGATAATAGAGGTACATTTAAGGCACTGAGATGCATGGAGACCTGGTGCTGACCTATATGACTGTAGACTCTCTTCTAAGTTTCATTGTCTTCTTAGGAGAGTTGAATTGTGCTGTAGCCTATTCCATTTTTTAAAAGCAGGCCACAAGCTGGGTACCAGTGGCTCACGTCTGTAATCCTAGCTACTCAGGAGGCTGAGATCTGAGATTGTGGTTTAAAGCCAGCCTGGGCAAGAGACTGTCCAATTAACCACCAGAAAACTGCAAGTGGCACTATGGCTTAAGTGGTAGAACATTCACCTTGAACTGAAGAGCTGAAGGACAGCACCCAGGTCCAGAGTTCAAGCCCCACAACCAACAACAAAAAACAAAAAAACAGGACACAGTGGTGCTGCTCAGAATGAAGCCAGTAGAGGCTTAGGTTTACCTCTCCCTGCCATATTAGATACTTCTAAGAATTTAAGACCCTGTGGGGCCATGGCCCTCAAAGCCCATACTTCCTGCAGCCTTGTCTACACTGACTTCTTGGCAGTTTATGGTCCCTGAAAAGATAAAGCCAGGTCCAGAATCCTCTCTGGCTGGTGGCAGTTTTTGTTGTTGTTGTTTTGATTTTTTTGTTGTTGTTGTTGGTCATGGGGCCTGAACTCTGGGCCTGGGCACTGTTCCTCAGCTCTTCAGCTCAAGACTAGTGCGCTATCACTTGAGTGACAGCGCCACTTCCGGCCTTTTCTGCTTATGTGGTACTGAGGAATCAAACCCAGGGCCTCATGCATACCACTGAGCCACCTTCCCAGCCAGGTGGCAGTTTCTTAAACACTGTCTCTTCCAGACAGCTGGACGAGCCCATTTTCTGCTCCTATCATGCTGCCCAATGCCTGGGAATACCAGCTTCTCAGCTGTGCGCGATTCAGTTCTTCCCTCTTCAGACCTATGAACATTGAACCTTCAGGTTCAGGATACTATTGAGGCCTATCCAGCTGAGAGGGAAAGACCATATACAGGCTGATTATTAACTCCTGGGGCTAGACTGGTAGGGCCTGGGCTCAAGGATGATGCCTGCTGACAAACCTTTCCATCCCCTTGGCAGAGGGAGCTGGCTATCAGCCTTTCCCACATTCCCAGCCAGCCTGGCCTCCTTAAGTAGCTTAGTCTTGGCAAATACTCTGTAACCCAAGGGAGCAAACCTACTGTGGGGACAGAACTTGGGTTTGTT